CACTTCATACCTTGAAGTTTTGAAACTGGAGTTAATTCAGGAGATTTCATACCTTGTAAATATGGCTCTGTGTTGCACCCAATAGAATTTACACACTGAGCTTGTGGCTGTGGAATGAATGCAGAATTCACACCTTGCAAATGTGGCCCTGGGCTGCACCCAACAGAATTTGCATACTGAAGTTTTGGCCTTGGAATGGGTGCAGAGGAATTTACACCTTGCAAGTGCAGCCCATGATTGCACCCAATGAAATTTACACATGGAAGTGGTGGCTCTGGAGTGGATGCAGAAGAATTCACACCTTGCAAATATGACCCAGGGTTGCACTCATTAGGATTAACACACTGAAGTTTGGGCCCTAGAATGGATGCAGAAGAATTCACACTTTGTGGATCTGGCCTAGAATTATACTCAATAGAATTTATACACTGAAGTGTTGGCTCTGGAATGGATGCAGAATAATTAATATCTTGCAAGTTTGACCCAGAGTTGAACCCATTAGAACTTACACACTGAAGTTTAGGGCCTGGAATAGATGCAGAAGAATTAACACCTTGCAAAGATGGCCCATGGTTGCACCCAATAGAATTTACACACTGAGGTGGTGGCTCTGGAATGGATGCAGAATTCACATCTTGCAAATGTGGCCCAAGGCAGAACACCTTAGATTTCATACCTTGAAGCTCAGGCCCAGGATTCAACTTGGCAGATTTTATTCCTTGCAACTGTGGCCCAGGGTCGAAATCTAAAGATTGTATATCTTGAAGCCTTGTTCCAAAGGTCAACTCAGATCTCACACCTTGCAACTGTTCCTGAAGATTGAATTTAATAGATTTTATATCTTGAGTCTTTGTCCCTGTACATAGTTCTGAAGGTTTTCTATGTTGCAAATGCGGCCCAGGATCGAACACCGTAAACTTGACACTTTGAAGGTCTGGCCATGGATTCAATTTATGAGATTTCTCATCTTGCTGCTGCTTTTCAGTATTGAACTCAGAAGGTGCCACACTGTGAGTCTTTGATTCCAGGGCCAACTTAGAGAGTTCTGCAACCTGCAATTCTGGGTCATGGTTGCCCTCTGTAGAGTTCACTGTCCGAAGCTTTATCAACCCAGATTTCATATCTTGCAACTTTGCCCCAGGATTGAATTCTGTAGATTTCACACCTTGATGTTGTATCCCTGGTGTCAACATAAATAATTTTCTATCTTGTAACTGTGAGGTTGAGTTTAACCCCAAAGATGTCCTATCCTGTACCTTTGTACCTAGAGACAATTCAAAAGATTTTACATCTTGCTGCATTGGCCTAGGCATGAGCCCCACAGATTTCACTTTTTCAAGCTTTGTCGCTGGGATCTCTTCAGAAGATCTCATACCTTGCAATTGTGATTCAGAACTGAACTCCTTAGATTTTACGTCTTGAAGTTCTGTCCCCTTGATTGAGTTACAATATTTCATATCTTGCCACTGTGGGCCTGAGTTGAACTCCAAAGATTCCCCACCTTGAAGTTTTGTCTCTAGTGTTAACTGAGAAGATGTCACACCTTGTAACTTTGGACCACGGTTGTATTCTACAGATTTTACATCTTGATAGTTTGTTCGTTGAATCAACTCAGAGTATTTTTCACCTTGTATCTGTTGTCCAGAATTGAAATACATTGATTTCATACTTTGAAGCCTTGTCCCTGAGATTACCTCAGAAGATTTTATATCTTGAAAGTGTTTTCCAGAACTGAGCTTCACAGATTTTACATCTTGAAGCTTTATACCCATGATCAGATCAGAAGATTTTATATCTTGTAACTGTGGGCCTGATTCCAGCTCTACAGATTTCACACCTGGAGACTTCCTCCCCGGGGTCAAATCAGATTTCTCACTTTGTAACTTTGGACTAGGTTTGAAGTCTACAGATTTCACACCCTGAAGCTTCACCCCTGGAATCACTTCAGAAGATTTCGCACTCTGTAAATGTGGTCCAGAACTGAAATCCATAGATTTAATGTCTTGAAGCTTTATACCCATGATCAACCTAGAAGATTTTAAATCTTGCAACTGTGGGCCTGAGTTGGATTCCGCTAATTTCACTTCTTGAAGCTTTGTCTTCGATATAGACTCAGAAGATTTCACTCCTTGCAACTGTGGCCCAGGTTTGAAGTCGTAGATTTGACACCTTGAATCTCAGTCTTCATGGTCAAATCTGAATGTGGGATATTTTTCAACTGTGAGCTGGGATTTAACTTTATAAACTTCATGTCTTGGGACTTTGTCTTACGGGTCAATTTAGAAGATTTGACACATTGCCATTGTGGCCTAGACCTAAGCTCCTCAGATTTCATACCTGGAAGTTTTGTCTGATGAGCCAACCCAGATGATTTCATGCTTTTCAAGTGTAGTAAGAAGTTCAGCGCTACAGTTTTATCACTTTGTAATTGTAGCTCTTGGTGTAATACTCCATATTTAACCCCTGAAAACTGTGGCTCTTTTGTAAACACTACAGAATTCATATCTTGCAGCTGTGTTCTTGGATATGCCTCCAAGGGTTTCACTTTGTGCAGCTGTGGTCTTGGGGTCAACTCAGAAGATTTCACATCTTGCAAATGAAGCCCAAGTTTGAATGCCATAGATTTTATATCATGGAGATTTGATGTTGAAATTGGGCCACATGATTTCACACTTCTCAACTGTAACCCAGACTTCAAATAAATAGTTTTGGACCCTGGCAACTGATGTTCCTGGAGTGATGTCAAAGGTGGTACACTTTGGAGCTTTTGCCTTGGAGTCAACTCAGATGACTTCACATCTCTTAATTGTACTGAAGGTTTCAATTCTACAGGTGTGACAGCTCGATTGTGAACCACATTTTAGCATAGATTTCATATGTTGGAACTCAGGTACTGGTATCCACTGCACAGATTTCACACTTGCAAGCTGTGAGTCTTAGTTTGACTCCATAGTTTTTACCCCTTGAAGCTGTGGCTCTGAGGTTGATGCCAGAATTTTCCCTTTCGGCAACTGTGGTCCTTGGGACAACTTAGGAGTTTTCACAAACTGCAACAGTGGCCCACAAACTCCACAGGTTTTGCACCTTGAATTTTTGGCCCTAGAATCAGTTCAGATGATTTTACACCTCCTGACTCTACGGAGGATTTCAACTCTGCAGGTTTGACACCTCGAGATTGTGAACAAAGATTCAGCCCTCCAGTTTTTACATCTTGGAACTCAGGTCCTGGTATTCACTGCACGGATTTTGCACTTCCAAGCCGTGAGTTTTGGTTTAACTCCACAGTTTTCACACCTTGAAGTTGTGGCTCTGAGCTTGATGCTGGAATTTTCCTTTTTTGCAGCTGTGGTCCTTGAGACAACTCAGGAGCTTTCACACAGTGCAACTGTGACCCAAGGTTAAACTCCATAGATGTTGCACTTTGAAGTTTTGGCCATAGAGGCAGTTGAGATGACTTTACACCTCCTGATTCTATGGAAGGCTTCAACTCTGCAGGTTTGACACCTCGAGACTGTGAACCAAGATTTAACGCTATCAATTTTACACCTTGGAATTCAGGTCCTAGTATCTGCTGCAGAAGTTTCACACTGCCAAGTTGTGGGTCTTGGTTTAACTCCACAGTTTGCAAATCTTGAAGTTGTGGCTCTGAGGTTGATGCCAGTATTCTTCCTTTTTGCAGCTGAGGTCCTGAAGACAACTCAGAGATTTTTATACACTGCATCTGTGGCCCAAGGTTAAACTCCATCGGTTTTGCACCTTGAAGTTTTGGCGCTAGAACCAATTTAGATGCTATCATATCTCCCAACTGTACAGAAAGTTTCAACTCTGCAGGTTTGACACTTCGAGACTGTGGCCCAAGATTTAGTCCTACAGATTTTACACCTTGGAACTCAGGTCTTGTTATCCACTGAACAGATTTAATTCTTCCAAGCTCTGGCTCTTTAACTCCACAATTTTCACACTTTGAAGCTGTGAATTTGCAGTTGAGCCCAAGGGTTTTGCTTGGTGCAACTGTGGTCCTGGGGTCAACCTGGGAGATTTCAGACTTTGCAACTGTGGTTCATGTTTGAACTCTTTAGCTTTTATATCTTGCGTATTTGGTTCTGGAGTCAATTCTGATGATTTTATACCTTTTGACCGTAGGTCAGACTTGAGGTCTACAGATTTTATACCTTCAGATTTTGACTCTGGAATTAACTCCAAAGACATTACACTTTCTGACTCAGACCCTCTCTTTACTTGCTCAAAATTCACACATTGCTGCTCTGATGAGTTTATAGATATCTGACCATCCTGTTCCAGCTCAAGGGTTAAATCCACAGGTTTTACTTCTTCAAACTCTTGTCCTCTGTTTATATTCACAAACTTTACTACCAGTCTTTTCTGCCTTGGGGCAAACTTTACAGATTTTACACATTGCAGATGTGGATCTTGAGTCTTTATAGATTTTAAACTTCGAAGCTTTAAACATGGAGTAATCTCCACAAATTTCATATCTTGCATTTGTGGGACTGAAGTCAGTTCCTCAGGTTTCTTGCTTTGTAGCTGAGGCCTCTGAAGTGTCTCCATAGATTTAACCCCTTGAAGCAATGGCTATGGTGCAAAAGCCATAGACTTCTCACCTGGCATCTTTAGCCCAAATTTTAATTTTGCAGCTTTCATATCTTGCAGCTGTGTACCTGGGACCAACTCCTCAGTTTTAAAATCTTGAATTCTTGAGCCTGGAGTCAACTCCACAGACTTTACACCTTGAAGCTCTGAATTAGGGATGAATTCCACAGCTCTGACATCTTCTCTCTGTGACCCTAAGGTTATCGCCACAGATTTCCCACCTTCCAGCTGTGGACTTGGAGATATTTCCATAGATTTCATCCCTTCCAGGCATGGTCCTGGAGTTAAGGTCACAGATTTCATATCCGCTAATTGTGACCCTGAGGTCAGCAACTCAGACTGGAGCTTTGAGCCTGGGGTTACCTCCTCAAGTTTTACACCTCCTGCCTGTGGCTCTGGGGTTAACATCACAGATTTGACATCTTCCAATTCTGGCTCTGGTGTTAACTGCCTAGTTTTCATATCTCCCAAATGCGGCCCTGGGATTAAGTCCACAGATTTCATATCTTCTAGCTGTGGCTCTGGGGTTAGCTTTTCAGATCTGAAACCTTGAAGTTTTAAGACTGGGCTCTCCTCCACAGGATTTACATCTTGGAGCTCCGGTCCTTGTATCAATCCAGAAGATATCATACCTTGTAACTGTGGTTTTCTGGTCAACTCAGAATGATTTACACTGAGCAACTGTGGCCCCAGAGTCAACTCCATGGATTCTGCACCTGGCATTTGTGGCTCTGAGACTAATTTACTGGAAACTTCAACTTCAAGGCTTGGCACTTGATTGCCTACTGCATATTTTACATCTTGAAACAGTGGCTCTGGTACTAACAACTCAGGCTTAACCCCTTGCCCCTCTGGCCCTGGAGCCATTGCCATAGGCGGTACCCCTTGCATCTCTGTCCCTGGGGTCAACTCTAAAAATTGTACACATTGTAGCTGTGGCCCTGAGTTTAACTCTAAAGATTTCACACCCTGAGGTTGAGTTCCTGGTACTAAATCAAAAATGTTGATATCTTGTAGCTGCAGCTCTGGGTTAAGCCCTTCCTGTTTCATACTTTGAGTTCCTTGAGACATCTTTGCTAGTTTGGAATCTTGCAGCCCTAACTCTGGGACCACCTCTACAGAATTCACACTATGAAACGCTGATCCTGGAGTTTGATCCCCAAATTTGATACCTTGCAGCTTTGGCTTTGAAGTCAATTCAGAAAATCTGAGATATTGCTGCCAAGGCCCTAAGTTTACTTCCTCAGATTTTACACTTTGAGATGGTAGTTCTAAGGTTGATTTTGCAGATTTCATACTGTGAAACTGTGATTCTTCAGGAGACAGAACAGATTTCATGTCTTCAACGTATGGCCCTTGGCTTAACTGCAAAGATGACTCCGGCACAAAACCTAGAGACTTTATATCTTCAGGCTGAGCTCCTGGTGTCATCTGCATATGTTGGAAACCTTGATGCTTTGACCCTGGGATCAAATCAGAAAATCTGACATCTTGCAAGCCTAGTCCTGGGTTTAGTTCCACAAATTTCACACCTTGAGGTTGTGGTTCTGGAGTCAGCTGTAAAAATTTGACACTTTGAGGTGTTAGGTCTGGAATAAAATCTGATGATTTGATGTCCTGAACTGGGGAATCTGACAATTCATCCTATTTCACACCATAATGTAGGGGTCGTGAGATTAAATCTACAGGTTTTTCTCCTTGAAGAAGTGGCCCTGGAAATACCTTTGAAAATCTGACACTTTGCAACTGTGGCCCTGGGGTCATTCCAGAAGATTTGACATTTGGCTGACGTGGGCCTAGATTTATATCCACAGATTTTACATCTTGGAGCTCTGCCCTCTTAGTCAAATCCTCCAATGGCATACTTTGTAGCAGTATCTCTCGTATCATCTCCTCTGATCCTACCACTCATATAGTTGACTGTTGGATTAAATTCATGTTTCATATCTTGCAACTGTGACTCTAGATCCAACTGCATAGACTTTCCTCCCTGGATCTGTGGCCCTGGGGTCAGGTTGATAACATGTGGTTTTGGTTTTGTAATTAACTTTTTAGATACTATCACTAATGGAGATGACTCACTGGTTAACTCCACAGATTTCAAGTTTTGCAGTTAGTGGCTCTGATTTCTCATATTGCATGCCTGGTCCTGGAGTCAACTCCAGAACTCCTGTTTCTGAATCTGGTGGTACTGGGATAACTCCCCAGGTCTTACCAACTTGAGGCAATGCCAACCCCACAGTTTCTGTGTCTTTATATTCTGACATGGAGGGTGCCTCTGACAACTTAGTAATTTCTGAACATGGCCCTAGATTGCAATGAACAAACCTCATATGGGACTGTGGCTCTGTGGTCAACACCTCTGATTTCACACTTTGTATCTCTGATCCTGATATCAAATCCAGAGATTCTTTTGTTGTGTGTTGTGACACTGGAGTTTCCCCCATTGCTTTTCCAAGTTGGTGCATTGTCTTAAGAGTATCTTGGAATGACACTGAGCTCATCTCCACAGATTCTGAAATTTGGCTCAGTGGCCCTGGGGTAGTTCCTAAAGATGGTTGGGTCAACCCAATAGATTTTTCCACTTGGTGACAAGTGTCAGAGGTCAACTTTGCTTCTTTTTCTTGATATCCTGGCTCTGAGATCATCTCTAAAGATTCTGAGGCTTGACGCCATTGGGTCAATCTTTCAGGCTCTGTGTCTTGATCATTTGGTTTGGGGCTCATCTCTGCAGCTTTTACTGCCTGAAGCTCTGTCCCTTTGGCCAATTCCCCATATTTCACACCTTGCACACGTGTCTCAGGAATTAACCTCCTACATTCTACCATTTGAGGAGTTTTCACATCTTCAAGTAATAGTACTGGGGCTATCTTCTCAGATCTGACATCTTGTAACCATGTCTTTGGGGTCAACTCCGCAGATTTTGTGTCTTCCATTGGTAGTCTTAGTGTCAATGCCACAGTGTTTATATCTTGGAACTCTGGTGGCAGGACCAGATGAACAGATCTTCTACCTTGCAACTGTGAACCTGGGGTCAAACCCCTAGATTCTGTAACATGTGGCTGTGCTGGTGGAATTATCCCCATGGAATCCATGGCTTGGAATAGTGCTACTGGAGTTAACTCTCGCACAATGCATGACTTCATGTAATGGTGCTGAGATCACTTCCGATGATTTTGTGTCTTGACATATTGGCCCTGGAATAGTCTTTCCTTGTTCCATGACTTGACTTTGTGATCCTGAGGTCATGCCAACTGATTCCATGACTTTATGCTGTGGCCCTGGCATCATTTCCACAGTTTCCATAACTGCACATTGTGGCCTTGGATTCATCTCCTCTGGTTTTGTGACTTGATAGTTCAATAATGTGTTCATCTTCACTGACTCTATGGCTTCATGATGTGGTGTTGGAGTCATTCCCACTGATTCTATATGTGGATGTGACTTGTTAATCATCCCCATAGAATCCATAACTTGAAGCAGTGCTATAGGAGTTACTTTCTTATTATCTGTGACTTGATTCAGTAATCTTGTGGCCATCCTCTCTGATTCCACAACTTGGTGCTTTGGCCTTGGGGCTGCCTCCATTGACTGAATGACTTGATTTGGTGGTTTGGGGGTTATAGTCATTGTTTTCATAGTTTCCATTGGTTTCACAACTTGACTTGGCAGCTGTGGGAACAAACCCACGGATTCTGAATGTGATCCTGGGATCATCCCCATTGAATCCATGACCCGAAGTAATGCCAATGGAGTTACCTTTATGCTGTCCTTGACTTGATATGGTAGACTTGGTGTCAAATCAACATTAGTCACTTGTGTCTTGTGCTGCTGTATCCTTTTTTCTGGAAAATCTATGACCCTCTTCTCTACACTAAGCTCTAGTATGTGTTTTGGCTCTTTCTTCAGTAAAGCAGTTTCCTCTGGAATTACATTAACTCCTAAACTTCTTGGAGGTAGAGTGCCCACTGATGTAACTAAAGGCATGGATCCAAGGATTTGGGGGCCATCCCCAGGCTGTAACTGCTTGCCTGAAATAAGTGACTGTGAAAGTTTTGTTTCTGTGCTATTTGTTCCAGATCCCACTTCAGCATTCACAAGAAGCGGAAATGATGGAAGGTCTGGGGAATTTTTGTTAATATTTTGCTCAGTGTTTTGATGAATGGGCATAGATAACCGAGTTTGGAGTTTATTTGATTCAGCAACTCCTCTTTGTACTTCAGTTAAATAATTGAGCATTGCCCATGATTTCCTCACAGGTAAAGGTACTGTTTGCTGCTGCAAAGTGAAAACCTTCTCAGACATATGTCCTTCTAGCTCCCTTCTGACCGAAGGAGAGAGCTTGAACGGAGCCCACCTTGGAAGTTGTGGTCTCTCCTTGGAAACAGAATTTGGCTCATGATCTGATGTCAAATGACTCTTGCTCCTTCTCTCTTCTTTTTTTTTCCTTTTTTGTTTGCAGATATTTAGAGGCTCGGAAATAGAGTTGATGAAAGAGCTCTGAGATTGTAAGGGTGAAAGTTCTGTCAAATTCTGAAAATGTTTTGATTTCTGGGGCTCTGATAGCTTAAAAGGAGACAGGGTTGTGCCTTGGTTCCTGAATACGGATGACTGCCTTTTGTGGGAAATAGGTAAACTATGGCTCTGGTATTCCCAAGTTGTTCCTTCAGAAAAGACAGGAAGATGACACAGACTGGAGTTACTGCATGGTGATCTAAAGGAGATGCTGTGGTCAGTAGAATGTGTTGCTTTCTTATAGTCACAACAGTGTAGAACAGTCTTCTGAGCCACAAGAACAGAGGAGGTAGAGGAAGAAATTGTATCCTGTGGTTCAGGCAAATCCTGTTCCATAAGCCTTGATCTAAGAAATAAAGAGAAATGTTTCCGTTTGCATTGAAATAGGAAAAGGAAAAAAGTGGCCATTTCAAATGCAAAATATTTTTGGCCTGAAGGAGAATTGGGAAAAAAAAAAAAAAGTTTCTTCCCCCAACATCGGTTACTTATAGAAAGAATTACTCTACCAGGATAAAGGGAGGAAACTGTTCCCATTCCACCCAGAAATGACCCTTCAACCAGTTTAAACCCAGAACTTCCTCCACAGACAAAATGAACTCTGTCCCTCCCTCCTTCCTCCCTTTTAAAACCTCTACCACCTTCAGTCCTCACCCAGAAACTACAATGCCTGACCTTGTGCTTTCCAGGTGTCGGAAGATCTGTTGAAGACTCCGCTCCATTGACCAGAGTATATAGTCCTGGGTCCAGTCCCCAGGGAGTTCTGAAACACTGGATGCAACATTGTATGTCAATGTAATTGAAGTCTCATTAAAATACCAGTAAGGAAAACAGTAAGAGATTTAACTTAGAAAAGAGAAAGCTATCATAGTGAAGGAAGTAAAACAGGGTACCAGGTACTTTATTTCTAACTTTCACAGAGTTTATCAGTAGAATTGGCTGAAGACAGGCTTTACTCACCACGTCAGGTTAGCTTCAGTGCAAGCCATCCTGAGGGTTTCTTCCCACTGTGGATCTGGGAGAAGAGGTGAAGAATCTATCAACATCATGATTATTGACATCATTTCGTCCAACCCCCTCTTTTTGCAAATAAGGAAATAAAGATGAAGTTATGCCCAAGATCATGAAGCTAATTAGTGGTAGATCTCAGACTTAACCCATCTCAACATTTTTCAAAAAGCTACACTGCTTCCATCATACATGCTGCCTTCATCATACAGTAGATGTAAGCTATATACATTGGGAAGAATAGGAATAATCATAGTAATAAGCAGTGGGAGTAGGGGAAAGAGAGGCCACAATACATATCTTTTCCTCCAAAGGAGTCTATTCAGTATCTATGGTGGGGGAAAAAAGATAGGGAAACTTCCCTCACCAAACTCTTGGTAGTTAACCTTTGTCCATTTTATAATCTCACCAAGTTTCCTCCCCAATTCCTTGGGACTTGAACAAAAGGAGCTGAGGAGAGGAAGCATGAGGAAAGGAACCATGGAGCTGTATAGATACAGCTCTTTTTTTTTTCTAATCTTATGACAGATTAACATACATCTCTTTAGACATGGAGATGCTAGAAGAAGCACACTTCTTCCATTTACATCCTCTTTTTCTTTTTTTTTTTTTTAATTGTTCAAATTTTTATTTTAATGCACAGTATGAGAAATGAACTTTTAAATCAAGTGATTTGTATGGAAAATTACGTGGCAAATAAATTAGACCCATGTTAAAAGAGAAGGTCAGTTAAATGTCCAAATTTAAGGATATAATGGGCACTGATAAACAGATTGCACTGTCTTCTTTAAGAGGCTATCTTTCAAACACAACTTTGCTAGAAACTGGTCCAGTGATCAACAGCACATGGGAATGCTTAACAAGGGTGGTGATCAGGGACATGTTTCCTGGGTGCCGCTTTGATGATGTTGTCCACACACAGAATCACCTCTGCTGCTTCAGCTGCACTTAGAAGAACTTGACGCTTTACTTGAAAACTTTCTGTTATACCCAGGAGAGCCATATCTCCAATGGTGCCTTCCCTCATATCCAGTCCAGCAGTGGTATTGCCTTCACTGTGAGCAGCTCTGAGCTGTGCCACTAGGTCTGCACTGTCATAGCCTGCGTTGTCAGCTATGACGGTTGGCAACATTCTCAGTGCTTTAGCATAAGACTCCATTGCAACAGCTTCTTTGCCTGGTGTTCTATTGGCAAGCTGTGTCACAGCATGAGCCATCAACATCTCCGAACAGCCTCCTCCATAAACTGTTCTAGAGTCCTTTACAGTTTGTGCAAGAACACAAAGAGCGTCATGCAAAGATCTTTCAGCTTCATCTAAAATTTGTTGAGTGGCACCACATAAAACAAGGGTACAAGCCTCACCAAGGGCAACCCCAGAAAAGTGAACGAGTTTGTCTTCTCCAATCATGACTTCCTCAATAAGTTTGCAACTTCCAAGCTTTACCAATTCTGGGTGATCAAAGGTAGAGGCAATTTCACCACCTGTGACAAGAGCTAGGCATTCCACACCTGCAAAATCTGCATGCTCAATAGCCATGACGCCAGCAGCACCGAAGAGCTGTTCAGGATAATTATAAATTAACTGCCTGTTAATGAAGCAATTTATTCCATGCTTAAGAATACGTTCAACTTTCTCCTTCATTTTTTCCTTTTCTGCATGTTCTATTTCTGCAACCTTTGCTGTAGAATCAACTCTTACCCGGGAACCAAATATCTTTATTTTGTCTGTATCCATACCAGTATTTGCAATAAGAATTTTAGCATTTTCAATTCGTTTTGGTTGATTTACTCCAATTTTCTTATCCAACAGAAAGACTTCATCTAAATAGGAATCTGCCAAACTTCCTCCTAGCTTCTTGATAATATGAATTGCCTCCAGGTTGCCAGAGCCTTTCAGTCTGAGAACCGCTTCTACAGCTAATTTCGTAAAGTGGTCTTTGTGATGAGTAAGAAGTTTTGAGGATAACGTTGTGCCCGCAATATTCATTAAATCTTGACGGAATTTAACTTCATCGGAACCATGATCAACTGCAGAACTCAACAGAGCCTCTCTTGCAGCCTTTGTGGCTTCTCTCCAACCCGCTATGATGGTCTGTGGATGAATCTTTTTTGCAATTAAAGATTCTGCTTCCCTTAATAATTCTGCTGCTAAAACGGTAACAGAGGTAGTGCCATCACCAACTTCATCATCTTGAACCCTTGACATATCAACTAAAATTTTAGCTGCTGGATTGTCAACACCAATGTTTTTTAGAATAGCGGCACCATCATTGGTTACCATAAGAGAGGCATCTCGTCCACTGCTTAGAAGAATTTTGTCCATGCCTTTGGGTCCCAAGGTGCTCTTTACCAAGTCTCCAATGGCGATGGCACCAATAAAAGAAGACAGACGAGCTGTCTCTGCTCTCTCTTCATCAGCTCCTGCCTTGAAGATGTTAACAGGTGTAAGGAAAAGGGACGCCATGGTTCTGAGGGATTCCGCACGCAAGTGGATCCCTTCACAACTCGTGCTCCGGGGCCGACAGACAGGAGCTACATCCTCTTTTTCAACCTCCCTCCACCTGCTATTTAAGGCTAGAGTCATAAGGCAGACCCATAATTGGTCTGTCATTAACCTGGAACTGAAGAGTAAAGAATAGAATCATTCTAACCTGTTAATTTCTGGATCTTTTTCCATCTATGGTGCTTTGAAGTCTAGAGAAGCATAAAAAGAAAATCAGATTATGTTCTAGGTTAGAGACTTTATTGATAGCACATCTCACCTTTTAGATATCAGATATTGATACATCTCATGTATCAGATATTGATAGAATTGGCACCCATAACCATATATAAATACTGTAACAAACATAAATGTCAGGAAATATAGAGGATAGTGATTAACTTCCTAAGACAGAAGGGAAGGATTACTCAAGAAGTTGCATTTGTACTGGAGTTTAAAGAATCAGCACAAGACTTTTAGGTGAAGAAAAAGTATTTCAGGCAAGTGGGAACCTCCCTGAGTTCAGCATGTCATGAAGGTCAGGTGCACTTTTGCTAAGTAGTGGGAGATGCTAGGCTGACAAGGTAGATGGAAGCCAGGTTATGCCTAATGGTAAAATTTTAATTTTATTCTATAGTTCAAAAACTCCCAGGGTTTTTGCAAAATGTTCCAGGTCATTTTAAAGGCAGTAATGACATTTGTTACCATTTCAAGTAAAATAAATTTTTTTTGAGACAGAGTCTTGTTCTGTCACGTAGGCTGGAGTGCAGTGGCGTGATCTCAGCTCACTGCAACTTCCACCTCCTGGGTTCAAGCAATTCTCCTGCCGCAGCCTCCCGAGTAGCTGGGATTACAGGCATGTGGCACCATGCCTGGCTAATTTTTGTATTTTTAGTAGAAACGGGGTTTTGCCTCATTGGCCAGGCTGGTCTCAAACTCCTGACCTCAGGTGATCCGCCTGCCTCGGCCTCCCAAAGTGCTAGCTGGGATTACAGGCGTGAGCCACCACTCCCAGCACAGCAGCCTTTTAATACCGAATTAAGCTTCTCAAAAAAGAGTAAGGGAAATCGTTACAGGCCAAAAATAAGGAGAAAAGTGAAAAACGTGAGGTGGAAAATCATCTGATATTTCAATGCCCTACATCATTTGTAGCGTCAGTCAGAAGGGATTTGGGTTAACAACAAAGTAGGAGCAAAAGACAAGGCCCATGTGAAGTGTGTATTTGAAATTGAGGCCCTGGGAAAAAGTCAGAATTCTCAAAGTGCCACGTGTTTAGTGGAAAGGTGGCTAGGAAAAAATCTGCCCATCACAAGAAAATCTGTACTCTAGGTGGGGGAAAAAAAAACAAACCCTTCTCTGAGAATTTTAACCATGAGTCTATACTCAAACTGGCTCGGCATTCTAATTAAACCCACTGTGTAACAAGGAACCCTCGAACTGAAAATAAAAGTGGAGTGAACCTGGGTTGGTAATGCTTTAGGGTAAAAGATGAAAGTAAATGTGAATCTCCTTGGAAATTAAAAAGAAGTAGAAGTGGTCAGGTGCAGTGGCTGATGACCATAATCCAGCATTTTGGGAGGCTGAGGCAGGAGGAACCCTTGTGCCCAGAAGGGTTTGAGATCAGCCTGGGCAACATGTGAGACCCTGTTTCTACAAAAAATAAAAAATAATTATAAAAAATTAGCCGGGGTGGCCAGGCGCGGTGGCTCACACCTGTAATCCCAGCACTTTGGGAAGCTGAGACAGACAGATCACTTGGGGTTGGGAGTTCCAGACCAGCCTGGCCAACATGGTAAAACCCCATCTTTACTAAAAACACAAAAATCAGCCATGCATGGTGGTGCATGCCTGTAATCCCAACTACTCAGGAGGCTGAGGCAGGAGAATCACTTGAACCCGGGAGGTGAAGGTTGCAGTGAGCCAAGATCATTTCACTGCACTCCAACCTGGGCAACAGAGCAAGAGTCTGTCTCAAAAAAAAAAAAAAAAAATTAGCCGGGTGTGATGGTGTATGCCTGTGGTCCCAGATACTTGGGTGGCTCAGGTAGGAGGATCTCTTGAACCCAGGAGGTGAAGGCTGCAGTGAGTTGTGATCCTGCCACTGCACTCTCCAGCCTGAGTGACACAGCAGGATGCTGTCAGAAAAAAGAGAAAGAATGAATGAATGAATAAAAGAAAGAAAGAGAAAAGAGAGAGAGAGGAGGAAGAAGAAAACAGTTTGAATAAGTACACTTAATAATGTGAAAACTCTGATAAAATAAATTCCTAGAAAAAATATATGATACCAAAATTGGGCAAAAAGGAATAGATCATTTGAGTAGACCAGTAAGTATGAAAGCTGTTGAAATGATAATCAGACATTCTTCATCAGACATAATAAAATAATTCACCAAGGTTTCTGAATACCAGAACGACTTACAAATATCAATAACATTACTATAGTAAAAACTATAAAAATATTATTTAAAATAATAAAAGATATTCTTCACAATAGCAATAAAAAATGATAAAAGTAGCAAGGTGTTAAGTAAACGAAGAATACAGAAGACTTCCATGTAGAAAACTATAAAATGCTAATAAAAGACATAGAAGAGGATAAGAATAAATGGAGAGATAGTCCAAGCTCTTGGTTGGAATAACTTGAAATTACAAAGATGTCATTATTCCCCAAATTAATTTTTTTTAAGACAGTCTTGCTCTGTCAGCCAGGCTAGAGTGCAGTGGTGTGATCTCGGCTCACTGCAACCTTCGCGTCCTGGGTTCAAGCAATTCTCCTGCCTCAACTGCCCAAGTAGCTAGGACTACAGGTGTGCACCACCAGCCCTGGCTAATTTTTGTATTTTGAGTAGAGACAGGGTTTCACCATGTTGGCCAAGCTGGTTTTGAATTCCTGACCTCATGATCCACCTGCCTTGGCCTCCCAAAGTGCTAGGATTACAGGTGTGAGCCACCACGCCCAGCCAAATTAAATTACGTGTGTGTGTGTGTGTCTGTATATAGACATATATATATTTTTTTTAGTTTATTTATTTATTTATTTATTTATTTATTGAGACAGGGTCTTGCTCTATTGCCTAGGCTGGAGTACAGTGGCATGATTCACTACAGCCTCGACATCCTGGGCTCAAGTAATTCTGCCTCAGCCTCCCACGTAGCTGGGACTACGGGTGCATGACCCCACACCTGGCTAATGTTTTTTATTTTTATTTTTTGTAGAGACAAGCTCTCATTATGTTGCTCAGGCTTAAATAATATTTTAATGCATTCCCAATTCATATTTCATTTGGAATGTTTCAAGAACTTGTTAAATGCTCTAAAATTAATATGACAGAATAAAGGTCTACTAATAGCTAAATCAACCTTAAAAAGAAGAGCAAAGGAGTGACTTACTGTACCAAACAGCAAACACACAAAACACTAAGACAAAGCTGTAGGAAATAAAAACAGGAACAAATAGACCAATGAAACAGATAGAGAGCTCGGAGACAAACATGTATACATGGCAACTTCTTATAATAAAGGGTGTTCCACAAATCAATGGGAAAATGATTGTTTAGCAAACAGTGATGAGAGCCAGGCACGGCGACTCACACCTAAATCCCAGCACTTTGGGAGGCCAAGGCAGGCAGATTGTTTGAGCTCAGGAGTTCCAGACCAGCCTGGGCAATATGGGGAAACCCCATCTCCACAAAAAATACAAAAAATTAGCCAGGCGTGGTGGCACATGCCTGTGGTCCCAGCTACTCGGGAGGCTTAGGTGGGAGGGTCACTTGAGCCTGGGAGGCGGAGGTTGCAGTGAGCTGAGATGGTATCATTGCACTCCAACCTGAGTGAAAGAGTGAAACCCTGTCTTAAAAAAAAAAATAGGCCGGGTGCGGTGGCTCACGCCTGTAATCCCAGCACTTTAGGAGGTCGAGGTGGGAGGATCACGAGGTCAGGAGTTCGAGACCAACATGACCAACATGGTGAAATTCCATCTCTATGTAAAAAAAAAAAAAAAAGAAAAAAAAGAAAAATAAATAAATGGTTATGGGAAAACTGGCTCACTATAGAGAAAAATAAAATTGGATCACTTCCTAATACCACATATAGAGGTGGACAACAAGTATATTAAAAACTAAAATGTGAAATGTAAGACTGGAATATAGAAAAAAAGGTAGGAGTAAATCTTTGTGACCTAAAGCAGAGTCCTTAAGAAAAACTTCAGAAAAATAAACCATAGGCATAATTGCTAAAAGAGAAGAATTTAAATGTTTCTACCATACACAAAACAGATAAGTGAAGATGGCTATGTTAATTCACTTGATTTAGTCAATCCACAATGTAAACATGCAGCAAACCATCACATTATATCCCACAAATGTATACATTAGTATGTCTCAAATTTAAAAATAAAAAAAAATTTTTTTTGAGTGCTGCTTCCGGTCCGTGGCGCTGCGCTCTGGCCGAGCCAGCATGATCCGCTGGGCTCCCGGCGCATCTCCTGGAAGAGCCCACTCACCCTGGACGAGCTCTTCGGTAGCCTCAGATCGTCCTTGAAGAGGATGACTGAGACATTATGGGCCACGCGCTGTGTGTCTGCTCTCGGGGAACTGTCGTCATTGACAATAAGCGCTACCTCTTCATCCAGAAACTGGGGGAGGGTGGGTTCAGCTATGTGGACCTAGTGGAAGGGTTACATGATGGACACTTCTACGCCCTGAAGCGAATCCTGTGTCACCGAGCAGCAGGACCGGGAGGAGGCCCAGCGAGAAGCCGACATGCATCACCTCTTCAGTCACCCCAACATCCTTCACCTTGTGGCTTACTGTCTGAGGGAGCGGGGTGCTAAGCATGAGGCCTGGCTGCTGCTACCATTCTTCAAGAGAGGTACACTGTGGAATGAGATAGAAAGGCTGAAGGACAAAGGCAACTTCCTGACTGAGGATCAAATCCTTCGGCTGCTGCTGGGGATCTGCAGAGGCCTAGAGGCCATTCATGCCAAGAGTTATGCCCACAGAGACCTGAAGCCCACCAATATATTGCTTGGAGATGAAGGGCAGCCAGTTTTAATGGACTTGGGTTCCATGAATCAAGCATGCATCCACGTGGAGGGCTCCCGCCAAGTCCTGACCCTGCAGGACTGGGCAGCCCAGCAGTGCACCATCTCCTACCGAGCCCCAGAACTCTTCTCTGTGCAGAGTCACTGTGTCATCGATGAGCGGACTGATGTCTGGTCCCTAGGCTGCGTGCTATATGCCATGATGTTTGGGGAAGGCCCTTATGACATGGTGTTCCAGAAGGGTGACAGTGTGGCCCTTGCTGTGCAGAACCAACTCAGCATCCCACAAAGCCCCAGGCATTCTTCAGCATTGCGGCAGCTCCTGGCCTCGATGATGACCGTGGACCCACAGCAGCGTCCTCACATTCCTCAACTCCTCAGTCAGCTGGAGGAGCCACAGCCCCCAGCTCCTGGCCAGCACACTACCCAAATCTGAAATAACAGTGGCATGTTGAGAAGGTGATCCCTCATGCCTTAGAAAGAGGTTCCCATCCCTCATTGGAATCTCCCCCCATTCCGTCCAGGACTGCTCTCTTACACTTGGGGGTAGTGGGGTCAGGACAGTCATCTCAGTCCTGCATCCACTCTTCTGCTTTCTTACTTCCAAGAGCAAAACCTGGGCAAGGAGCCTTACTGAATGGGGGTGGGTGGGGGTTGGGAAAAGGGAAACTGCTGGGATATGGAACATGGCTCTGAGTGGGACTGCTGAGCTCATATCATGTTCTGCCTCCAAATCTGGGAGCAGGAGAATGTATAAAGAATAAAGTGGAAACAGGTTGGTGTGGATCTTAGTCTCACTGTCCCTGGAGTGAGAGAAGAGGTGCGGGGCACCTAGAGTCTGGTTGCCATTTCCAGGTGAACAGCCTGGGAAGAAGAGGGACTGGTGCAGAGTCAGCAGTGGTGCGACTTCATTCCATGGAAGGAGGTTGGTTAGCAGTGGACAGTTCTAGTTTGTCTTAGATCAAAACTTAAAGCTTCTTGGGCTTAAGCTGGTGTCTGCCTGTGTCAAAACTGGGACTAAGGCCCCCTAAAAGCACCCAGCTAGTTCTTTCCTTCCTTCACTCCTGGGTTGAGTAGTTGTCAAAGCAGCCCAGCCGGTTTGCCAGGCAAGGGCCTCTGGGTGGAGACACCTGAGGAAGCTTTGGGACAGCTACATTACAATCTCCCATCCTCAGCCTAGGGGCAAGGGGAGTGGAGTGTTTTGGCTCATGTCTCCCTGATGGTTCTAGCTCATACATGGTTAATGATTAATGGGGCAGTGTGGTGTGGCAGTATCCAGCTGCCACTTCTTGCCTACTCTGCTGAGTAAACAGGGGCCCTGTTTTAGCTGGGCGTCAAACCTGTTCCCTAGGGAAGGGCACTGTCCCTGAATCACCAGGGAGGAAAGGCAAGGGCAGGGTTGGCATCTCCTGCTCTTGTGATCCAAGCCTCCTCCCCACAACCATGCCCACCCTCCAGGCTGACATCAGCATGGGGCCTGGGGCTCCTGTTAGCAAAGTTGAAGCTTTCCCCGGGGCCCTAGCAGGAGTCTCCCACCAGCTAGCACCGAGGCTGAGGCCAGAAATAAATCACAAACAGAGGGGAGATGACCTGACTTTTAATGGCACAGCCCCAGCTCCAGCAAAGCAGCAAGACAGGAAGCTATGCAAAGCTGCTCAGAGGTGCAGTAGCACAAACAACTCTCTAGGAGATTGCCTGTTTCCTCCCATCCCCCAAGCTTATGACGTGGCTCCATGCCCAGGAACTCCGGGCCAGCCCAGCCCTGCTCCCAAACCCTCATAATGCAGAGGAGCCTGGGCCAAGCCTTGCTTCCAGAGTTGGTAAATGTAGAGGTGGCAGGAAGAACACGGTAGCAGTCTAACTCCCAAAGACAAACTACTGGATTAAACTTCTACTTGAAAGAAACCGAAGATTCATCCTTCAATAGTTTGTGCCTGGATTTGGTCCTCATTTCCTCCCTATCCCAGGTACCCCTAGGACTTCGATTTAAAGTCCCTGGGGTTATGCTTCCTGGGCCTGGCAAGGACCCCTTGGCAGGTCTCACCTTCAGCCATGGAAGGGGTAAGGATCATTAGCAGCAAACAGTGAGGGCAGCGGCAGCTCAAGCACTCACAGAGGGGACAAGAAACCGTGCAAGGAAACTGTTTATTTCGAAAGGATTTTGCAATAAACATAGTGAACAGGCTCCAGCAGCAGCTTTATTCTTCTCCCTCATCCTCGTCCTCATAGGAGTCGATGCCCACCTCCTCATAATCCTTCTCCAGGGCAGCCATATCCTCACGGGCCTCGGAGAACTCGCCCTCCTCCATGCCCTCACCCACATACCAGTGCACAAACGCCCTCTTGGCATACATCAGGTCGAACTTGTGGTCCAAGCGGGCCCAGGCCTCGGCGATGGCGGTCGTGTTGCTCAGCATGCACACAGCACGCTGCACCTTGGCCAGGTCACCCCCAGGCACCACAGTGGGAGGCTGGTAGTTGATGCCAACCTTGAAGCCAGTGGGGCACCAGTCCACAAACTGAATGCTGCGCTTGGTCTTGATGGCGGCAATGGCAGCATTGACATCCTTGGGCACCACATCTCCACGGTACAGCAGGCAGCAGGCCATGTACTTGCCGTGCCGGGGATCACACTTGACCATCTGGTTGGCAGGCTCAAAGCAGGCATTGGTGATCTCGGCCACCGACAGCTGCTCGTGGTACGCCTTTTCTGCAGAGATGACTGGTGCATAGGTGGCCAGGGGGAAGTGGATGCGAGGGTAGGGCACCAGGTTGGTCTGGAACTCTGTCAGGTCCACATTGAGGGCCCCGTCAAAGCGCAGGGAAGCTGTGATGGAGGAGACGATTTGGCTGATGAGGCGATTGAGGTTGGTATAGGTTGGGCGCTCGATATCTAGATTGCGGCGGCAGATGTCATAGATAGCTTCGTTGTCCACCATGAAGGCACAGTCTGAGTGTTCCAGGGTGGTGTGGGTGGTCAGGATAGAGTTATAGGGCTCGACCACGGCTGTAGACACCTGGGGTGCTGGGTAGATGGAGAATTCCAGCTTGGATTTCTTGCCATAGTCAACAGAGAGCCGCTCCATCAGGAGTGAGGTGAAGCCAGAGCCAGTGCCCCCGCCAAAGCTGTGGAACACCAGGAAGCCCTGAAG